TGGATAGCATCAGTCTCATATTTGCTTCTCCACTGAGCCACCTCGCTGTTGGCCTTGGACATTCCACGCTGCAGCTCAGCCTTGGCCTCCTGCTCCTCCTCAAACTGCTCTCTGAGCAGATCACAGTCGTGACGGGCTGACTGAACAGCATGGGCCAGGGCGTTCTTGGCCTACAAATTCATCATAAGAAGCATAAAAGTTTAATTATTTTGGTTAAAGTTCTGTAGCACATACACAGAACAGATTTTCTTACACAGGCTGTACCTTTTACTGACCAGGTTTGCCATAAGTAAATCCAGTAAAACCATATTACTGGATATCCATACTTGATGAAATCACAGACAGTCCAAGCACACATTGCATTATGAAGTGGACAATGCAAGATAGTATACCTTCACTTCTTCCTCAATGTGTCTCTTAAGCTCTTCAATCTGCTGAGTGAAGGCCTGTTTGCCTCTGGTCAGCTGGGAAATGAGAGCTTCTTTCTCCTCAATCTGGCGTGTAAACTCACCTAAAAGAATAAGAGTCAGATAGTAAGAGGAAGAGAGAGTTATTCATGTGGAATTTTCAATACAACAACAAAAAACATGACATGCAAGCTGTGACCTCAGTAACTATGCCTTATATACACATCACAGTGTTTCAATTTAAACACACAAATTAATCATATTATTGGAAAATTGGAATAGCACTATTAACATTGTATTGCACATAATACATCATTGGGTACACACCATTCTCTGTTTGCAGTCTGGCCCTCTGTGCACTCAAGTCATTCAGCTGACGAACATTCTCATCATTTTTGGACTTGATTTCACTTAGTTGGTCTTCAAGAGTTCGGCACATTTTCTCCAGATTGGCCTGCAATTGGCATAAAGTAAATGCAGTGAACAGATATCTTGTATTAATATATAATATTATTTACTGGGGGGGATGACATTGGGTGGGAGGCGGGCTACACCCTAGACAGGTCTCTAGATTATCACAGGGCTGACACATTGAGACAGACAACCAGTCACTCTCACGGGAACACCTAACCTGCTTGTCTCTGGACTGGGAGAGGAAGCTGGAGAGCCCGGATAAAACCCATGGTGTTGTGGGGACAACATGCAAACTCGGCACATATGGGCTCCCCCACCCTCTTACTGTAAGGCAACAATGCTAACCACTGTACCACTGTGCCATCTTATGTGAATGTGTTTTCCTGCAAAAACAGTGCATACCTTTGCTTTAGCAACAGCCTCCATGTTGCTGGAGAGGTCATCGATCTCCATCTTGTACTCGCTATTTTCCTTCTCCAGCTTCTGCTTGACACGCTGGAGGTTGTCAATCTGCTCTCCCAGCTCTGCAACACTGTCAGCCTGCTTCTTGCGGAGAGCTGCTGCAGTGGCTTCATGCTGCAGGGTGGACTCTTCAAGATCACGACGCAGCTTCTGGAACTCAGACTCACGCTTCTTGTTCATCTCAATCTGAGCGGCTGTTGCCCCACCAGCCTCCTCAAGCCTCTCGCTGATCTCTTCAAGCTCCCTGGAGAGGTCAGCCCTCTGCTTCTCAACATTAGCACAAGCAGCCCTCTCAGCCTCAATCTCCTCCTCCAGCTCCTCAATGCGAGCCTAGATTTGGTGGTAGATATATCAAGGAAGCTTATTAGCTTGAGCATGTTGTTTTTGATAAACTCACTTTAATATTCATGTCAAATATGTTACCTGGAGTTCCTTGATCTTCTTCTGAAGCTGAGCACCAAGAGACTGTTCATCCTCAATTTTGCTGAGGAGCTGGCTGGTCTCAAAGTCCTTCCTGGAAGAGGATAACAAAATGTTTTTTTAATGTCATAGCTGACTCCGGATCATTATGTTGCATTATGGTTTCTAGTAAAATCATATATCAAAAATAACTAAAAACATACTTCTTTAGTTTTTCCTCAGATTGTTGCTTGTCATTTTCCAGATCCATTATGGATTCCTGGGCCAGTTTCAGATCTCCCTCAAGCTTTCTCTTGGCTCTCTCAAGATCCATGCGGAGCTTCTTCTCTTGCTCCAAAGATCCCTCGAGCTGTCAAATGACAGTTAATGACAGTTCATTACAGGCATTTAAAAGACAGATCATCAGTGCCAAGAATACCAAGTCATTACAGGGAAAAGGTCAAGGGAAAATCATGACATTGTTTTCTTACATCGTCCACTTGCTGTTCCAGCTTTGTCTTGGCCTTGATCAGAGTGTTGACTTTGTCTTCCTCTGCCTGGAGATCATCAAGTGTTTGCTGGTGGGCCTCTTGGAGGGCTTTCTTCTCCTTAGTCAACTTGGCAATGGTCTCATCTTGAGATGCCATCTCTTCTGTCAGGTTTTTCACCTAAAAAGGCATGAACGGTAATTTTTTGTCATAATTTAAGATCTATACATTTTGAAACCTTTATAGAAACATTTTATAATTTTACATCTGTGTATATTTTAAGTTTCATGAACCTTGTTTTCTGTGGCATGTTTCTCCTTCTCCACTTTAGCCAAGGTGAGCTCCAAGTCATCAATGTCTTTCTTCAGCTCAGAGCATTCATCCTCCAGTTTCCTCTTCTTGGCAGTCAGCTCAGCATTCATTTCCTCTTCATCCTCCAGTCTCTCAGTTGTCTCTTTGAGTTTTGCCTCGAGCTGGATCTTGCTCTTAATGAGCCCCTCGCACCTTTCCTCGGCATCTGAGAGATTCTCACTTTCCTATGGTTTCAACATATACATATGCCATTATTTTGACTGAAACATGCTTCAAGATGCAATGGATTGTTTGGGCAAAGCAAAACGTCTGCCTTTGCTTTCTACTCACAGATGCCACTTGCAGTTGCAGGTCATTCTTTTCCTGCAGCAGGGAAACCATCTTCTCCTCCAGTTCCTTCTTC